CCAAGCCAGCAGAATATCTGAAAGCAGAGTGCCCACGACTGTAAGGCTGCTTAGGATCATAACGATACTGCCCACCAGAAACATATCCTCGCCCAAAGCCGCCGCTAGGAGTACCGGACCAAGCGTTTCCAAGCCCAGCGTTTGAGAGACGATGATCTCGCCACTGACGATAAAGGGCAATGTCCAGCCGATGGTACTAATGAGCGGATTGATCGCGACCCGTACCGGATATTTCAGAATGAGCCGCCGTTCTGGCAATCCTTTTGCCCGCGCTGTGGTAACGTACTGTTTGTTTTTCTCGTCTAGCAGCGTGGCGCGAAGAATACGAATCAGCGATGCAGTGCCGGCACTGGCGATGACCACAATGGGCAGCCAGATATTTCCGAGTAAATTGACGAACTTGGCGATTGACCAAGGTGCCCCCTTGTACTCTATAGAAAAAAGACCCGTAATCGCTCGTCCTGTACCGGAGAATACCCAATACCCGATTGCCAACGCCAGCAGAAAGTTGGGCAAAGCGAGCCCGACAAAGCCGATGATGGTGGCGATGTAATCTCCCACCGAATACTGTCTTACGTGCTTTGGTGGTGTTAATAGTTTGTTGGGAATGTGTTGTTGATTGTGGAATCTTTTGAGGGGAGGGGGGTCGAGAGATCGTAAGTTGGATTAGGCAGGGGGGTGCCTTGTGAGGTGTTGGGGGTCAGTCAGGGGATGAATGGAGGAGTACTAGGGGGAGGTGTGGGGGGTTGGGGGATGAGTGACAGTGTGGGGGGAAATTTGAGTGAGGCGTGTATTGTCGTTGGGGATTCGGGCCGTGTGAACTAAATGGGTGGGTGGGTGGGAGGTTGGTCCTGAAGTTGATTCGAGTGAAATTAAGGGGATGTGGGATGGGGGGTGTTTCATAGATGCAGGGGCAGGGTGCAAAAAGATTAACTGGAGGATGGGTTGGTATGGTAAAGTTAGTAGTGAAAGAAGTAGGGGGTTATGAAGAGCGGGGGCGAGAAGTGGGGTGGTAGGAAGTGGGTCGGTTGATGGGGATGTGGCAATGGGGGAGTTAAGCTGATATTACGATAGTTAGATGTGGGGGAGGTTGGGTAGCGGAGGGAGGGCGGTTCGGGTGTCGGGAGGATGAGTCCTGTGCGTTGGGTGAGAAGGTTTGGGATTGTGGTAGTTGGGTGGGGGGAGATGGAGGCGGGTGGACTCGGAGTAATGCCGATGGGGATAGCGATCAGCCAAGTGATCACCAAAGAGGCTAAGGCTATAGTCGCCGACATGGGTAGACGTTCCATGATAACGTCCTTCACGGGTCGTTGGTAGATAAAGGAGCGTCCCATTTCGCCTTTCAGTAGAAAGTTGCTCATCCACAGGACGTACTGCGCTGCAGCGCAGCAGGTCGATCAAGACCGTACTGCTTATAAATTGCCTCGATTTGACCCTGATCTATTATGAACCCCGTTCGTTCGAGATTTTGGACATAGGTCTCCACATAGCTTCCGGGCGGCAGCAAGATTGTGGCAAAAGAGATAACGGAGATCAGGAAAAGCAGGGGGATGATGAGTATCAACCTGCGTACAATAAACGCTCTCATGGTCTGTTTTCCTTGCTTGGCAGCTTTGGATGTTAAATTCTGTATCAATACTAGCGCATCTGTTGCAAGTCAACCAAGTCTGATGTAGGACGTTCTTAGGCTATTTTCGGATTATCTAAATCCTTTCAATCCCGCGTGAACACTGTTAGCCTTGTTATTGCGTGTCTTGAAGAAAAGTTGTTCCATTCCGTAATCCAAGGCGCGGTCAAAAGGATAGCCGTCTTTAATCACGTTGCCTAGGTCAGCGTTGTACACGGTGGGAACTGTCATTCTGCCCACGGGCCAAATGGTGACGTAGTGCTGTGCGAACCAGTTCACGAGGTCAGCGTAAAGTGCTTCCCCTGCTTCTGATTGGGGCGGAACGACCTTCCGTGCCACATGTAGGTCGAAGAACTCCTGCAAGTAAGGCGGGGGTTTCCGCCCAGATTCGCCGTTTGTGTTGAAGTACATTTCTGACATCGGTGCCCAGTGTCCCTTAAATCCGGGCCAATAGTCTTCGGAGATGCCGGGTGCCCAGATGGGTTCATCGCTCCAGTGGATGGTTGCCATTAGTTCGTTGCCGTTCATACGCTGACCTAACAGCGAACTGCCAATCACGTCTAGGGTTGTGCGAATACCGACGTTTTCAAAATAGCTCTTTAAGAGTTCGCCCAAGCCGAGAAAATCGGGTGAGACTTCAGCGGTGGTAATTGTCAACTCGAAGCGATCACCGTTCGGGTCGGTTCGGAAGCCGTCAGCGTCGCGTTCGGTCATACCAATCTCATCGAGCAGCTTGTTAGATGCCTGTGGGTCAAAGGTTTCTTTGGTGAAGCCGTCAAGGGTGTAATGACCAAAGTAGAGGGTGTTATTCACGTCTTCCTTATCAATCGCACTGGCTATCGCACTGCCGAAACGCGGGTCAGAGACAAGTTGCTGCCAGACGCTGCCTTCAGTTTCGTAGTCGTAATCGTGATTGAGGAACAGAATCGGCGGGTTGTTAATTGAGCCGTGGAGGACTGTTTTGGTGTTGGATCGCGCTGCATTTTCCCGAAAGAAGGGCATCTCTCTGATTTGGGCAAAGGAGGTAACCACATCATACTCCCCAGCAGCTGTTTTCAGAATTATGGACTGGAGTTGGTTTGAGACTTCTGCTTCGACCCGGTCAATATAGGGAAGTTGGTTGCCGGCGATATCGACCTTCCAGTAATAGGGATTGCGAACTGCCCTAACAACTGAACTGGTGACCTCCTCGGCGATCCATGGGGTGAGTGAAGGAACACCGAGGCCGTGCTCTCGGTATAACTCCCAGTGGCGCATGTCCTTGAGGATGACCAGTTCTTCCCAGGTCCTGAGCTCCATCTCATCAAGAATCGGTTGAATTTCAGCTATGTCAGTGTAATCCGCGTGAAATTGTTTGATAAAGTGAGCGGGTCTAAAGAGCAGGGTGTAATCTGGAATCCAAGAAGACAGTTCCGCTAGGAATTGACCATAGGGGAAATCAAAGGTGATTCTGAAGGTCAAATCATCAATGATAGTGAGTTTGCCGGGGGTGCCATCTGCACGCCCTAGGGTTCTAGCTTTGATGGGGAAGGTTGGGTGAATTCGCTCGTCGCCGTAGAGCTCGAAGGTCATCCGTACATCTTCGGTGGTAACGGGCACACCATCAGACCATTTGAGACCTTCGCGGATGGTGAGCGTGTATTGGGTGAAGTCGGCGTTGATCTCGTAGCTGCTCACGATGGCGGGGAGCGGGTCCTTGGTGCTCTGGTCGGGTGCCCTGAGAATCGTCATACCCATCGCCAACGCCAATTCGTGCATAGAGCCGTTGAGGTTGGTGGTATAGATGGTGCCGCCGTAGCGACCGACCTCCCAATCAAGCCACCGTTCGGAGTTCAACACCCCAGGTCCTACCACAAACGGTTCCGAGGGGAGGCGTTCGGAGATGGGTGGTAATTTGCCGGCAGCAACCAAATCGGCGAAAAAGGGCACTTCGTTGTATTTGGAGGGCGGGGCGTACTTCTGGCTTCTGACCGAGATGGGATCTGATGCCCATACAACGTTTGAAGGCAGACGAGGTGGAGGAGTTTTTATAGGTTCACGAGATTCGGTTGAATCTGCATCTCCTGTTGTTTCTGCGGTTTTGTCAGCGTCCCTGTTAGAAGATGCCTCATCACCGCCTCCACGACAAGCGACTATAGCAAGCGCAATGCTAATGAGGAAACATAGATTTTTTAGAAACTTTGCTGCTTCGTGCTTCATATTTTGTTCCTTTATTACAGCGTCAAGAATGTCCCTCGCATCGTTACCCACTGCGGACTTCGCGCTCACGGTCTGGACTCGACAGCGGAAGTTCCGTCCACGCCGCATTGTGGGTGTGTGAAGCGTGAAAACCAACAATGGCTTCCAGCGTATCGACAGCTTCGGAGGCGGGATACGGAAATTCGGTTCCGCCATCAAGCCACTCCACGATTTCGGAGACCGCTCGATCCATTCCCGTAACTCCGTCGTTGGCATCGTCCCAATGTTCCTGACGGCCGTCCCAGTATTCGAGGGTTATACTGCTGCCGTCGGAGATAGCGCGACCCTCTGCCCCGTTGAGGATTATTTGTCCCGGAACTGTGGCGTAGTCTCCCGCATCCACCGTGACCATGATTCCGCCTTCCAATTTTATGATACCCCACCCACCGGGGTCACGGAATTCTGGTCCACGACAATCGGGTTTGCCGGCGAGGTCTAGTGTCGCGGAGATTGCTTCGATCTTTCTGCCGGTGAGCATAAGGAGTGCGTCGATCATATGCGTGCCAACGTTTCCCAATCTACCGGATCCCCACTGCAATGACGCGGAGGTCAATTCTCCTAAACCGTCTGCGGCGATAAGTTCTCGCAGTCGTCGGTGATTGAGGTTGAACCGTCGTTGGTGGTTGAGTACCAAAAGTGCACCTGCGTCGTCACATGCCTCAACCATCTGTTCCGCATCTGGGAGCGCGTTGCTATCGGCTTTTCACAGTAGATGGCGCGGATCCCCTGTTTGGCGCACGCAACGGTGATTTCTGCATGTACCGGTGCATAGGTTGCTACGCTTACGATGTCGAGTGACTCTTGAGCCAGCATTTCCTCCCAGTTGGTGTAGGTTTTTGCCCCTGCGCGTTGTGCGAAGCGTTCTCGTCGTCCAGCATCGCGGCTGCTGCCAGCGACTATATTGACGCGGGGATGGTTAGACAGAGCATCGAAGTGCGTGCCGTCGAGACCGCTGACCTGCTGACCGAGGGCGTCTCCGGAGACTTGGTCTGCCCCGCCGATAAAACCGAGCCCGATGATGCCCGCCCGGTAGGTTGCGTTGGTCATGGGTTTATTCTCCTAAGTCCATTCGTTCACTGGTTCATTGGCTGTGAGTGTTGGGTTTCACAGTTTCCATTCAACCCAACCTACGGTACTATGGGCGTTCACCGCGCTGTAGTCTTTCGTCGATCAGATCCAGAATTGGCGGTACATCCCAGATCCCATCTACCACATAGTGTGCGCCGGTCTGATACATCCGCGTATATGCTTGTGTTAGTTTGGCTTCCAGTATATCTTGGGGTAGGTCTGCGATCTCCTGTTCGTTGAGTCCAATTTCATTGCCTGTTTTGGCGAGACCGATGGTCCACATGCCGGCGTTGAGTCCTTCTTCGATGTCTGGGAGGGTATCGCCCACTTTGACGATTGCCTCCATCGGATAGATGCCTAGATTCATCGCGTTTTGTAGGCACATCCACGGTTCTGGACGACCTGCTGGGACATCGCTGGCGCAAACCGTAGCGTCCGGTGCGTAGCCACGATTACTTGCTTCTTTGAGGAGGAGTTCCATCATTTCGCCGAGGTATCCGGTGGTTGAGCCGATTTTCAGTTCCCGGCTGCGGAACTCCGCGACAGCTTCTAGCGTACCGGGGATCAGATCCGTGTAGTCGGCGAGACAAGCGAGTTGAAGTGGGATAAACTCTTGGAACATGGCTTCAACATCGGCTTCGTTGGGATTACGCCCATGGACATCTTGCCATCGCTGTGCCACGGATTCAATCTGTGAGATCTTCCGAATATGTACTTTTTTATGCGCTCCCATCGGTACGCGCGCTTCTTCGATAGTGATTGGAACGTCTTTGCGTTTGTAGACTTCAATGAACACAACGGCGGGCGCATAGCAGCCATAGTCCATAGTCGTTCCCGCCCAATCTAGAATGATTGCTTTTAGCGGGCCGCGATAGGTTCGCTGGTAGGTATATTCAAGTTTTGTCAATGGGTGACCTTTCTATAAGAGTAAAAAATTAGGCTCATGTCAAAAGAACGTGAAACGTGAAAAATGAACTAAATCGGTTTCTGTTGCACGATTTCTTAACATGGTCCAAAAATTATTCCTGTCGTAAATCAATCTCTTTCTGTCTTTCAGCAGATTGGTACATTGCCTCTGTGATGCGCGCGACGGTCAGACCGATTGCACCGGTATCAATCATTTCAACGCGTCCCCAACAAGCCCCAGACAACGTGCTGTTGTGGGCTTTCGTAGCCATCTCCCATGTATCCGAGGGAACGCATTCGCCTCTCGTAGGCGTCGATATCAAAGGTCACATCTGCATCCATGCCGTAGAGGTCGGTGTAAAAGGTGAATGGGTTTAGCTTGATTCCGCCCTTTGAACCCATGATGCGGTCACCTTCACCGCCGTCCATGTTGGCTGCCCATGCTTCTTCGACAAACATGGTGATCCCACCTTTGAAGCGGACAAAACCGGTGCCGAGTTCTTCGACATCGTAGCCGCCCTCTTGTTGACGCCCTTCGTCCATGTCTAGTTCTTGGAAGGTGGACGCGCTTACAGTTTCGATTTCGGGATTATCGAGCAGGTAAACCATTCGTGCCATGTTATAGATGGCTGTGTCCAACAGTGTTCCACCCCCGGCTTTCTCCGTTGAACGAAGTGAGGGGTAGCGTAGCCATCAACATAGGGTCGTCCACGACGACGATAGTGGCTTGTCTTGACATAGTAAAGGTTACCAAGCGCGTCTGCTTCGATGAGGTGTTCGGCTGTCCGTGTTTCTTTGGAGAAGACCGTTGCCATCTGCACTGACAACCTTTTCCCTGTTCTCTGCGCTGCCTCATACATGGCGATCGCGTCTGGACCTGTTTTTGCCATCGGCTTTTCGCAGTAGACGTGCTTTCCCGCTTCGAGTGCTGCGATTGTGATGGGGGCGTGCAGAAAGTTGGGAAGACAGACATCTACGCTGTCGATTTCGTCGATTTTCAGCAGGTCACGATAATCGGAAAAAACGTGCGGGATATCATGCTCCTGTGCGACCCGTTGTGCTTCGGATTCATTGATGTCTGCGACTGCGACAATTTCGACATCATTCTGCATAGACTGATAGCCCCGTACATGGCTTTTACCGATGATTCCTGTGCCGATGATACCTACCTTGAGTTTATCTGACATGGTGTTCTCCTGAGAGTGGATGAGGTGTTGGCTCATGTAAAAAGAAAGTACAAAGCATCCGCGAATTAACGCGAACCTACGCAAATAAAAAAGAAAGACTAAAGACGGGCAACCACAAGTTGAGCGTAGCGAAATCCCGCCTGTCCCCCTGGTCTCGATTTATCGGACGATTTATCGGAGATCCTATCGGGGGGTTGCCCCTACAACCTGCCCAAAACCTGAAATGTTCGGGTGGGAAGCCCCCGCCCCTACGATTGCTATTGCACGATTTCTTTACATGGGTGAAGGTGTTTCCCTTCCATCCTGCATTTACTCCTCTAAAATTGTGTTTCGCGTGCGTTCAAAGATTTCGATGGCGTATTTCAGATGTGTTTGGGACATGATGTTGAATGAAACCCCAAATCTCTTGGAGGTTACGTCGGGAAGGCTCGATCGACATTCGGCGATGTGTCTTGGCGTGAAATCCCCGTGGGCATCGATTCGGAAGTGGTTCGCTCGTTTTGATGGATACGAACCCATCCACCACCTTCCTCCGATTGTCATGCGAATCTGGGCAATCCGTGGACGGAGAATTGCACCGCAGGACTCCACGTAATCGAAGAATTGCCGAGCAACCTGATGAAGTTCTTGATTCTTGGTAAGTGTGGCGAGGAAACGTTCGCGGGTCAGAAATTGCCGGGGGGTATATTGATAGGTAGCGCGGGATTCCTCAATGGTGGAGGTGCCGAGTATTGTCTTTGTAGCAATCAGGATTTCATCGGGAGCTTGGTAGGAGAAGTAGGAAATGTAGGTCAGGTCGATGCCGACACGTCGTAGGTATTCGGCGATATCAAGGACACGCACATCAACCCCCTCGGAGACAAGAACCATCCGCTGCTTGCGATTGAAGGCAGACATCCTCATGGCACCTAATTCATAGCCGAAGAATGTGCTATGCAGTGCCAACAGAGAGGTAAACTCGCGTCCTTGTCCTTGAAACCATCGTCCAGCAAAACGCTCGAGATCGGCGAAGGAGAATTTGGCAACAGCTGCGGCATATTCCAGGATCTGTGCAATCGCTGCACGGGACGCTTTGCCCCGCTTGAGTTCGATGACGATGCAATTTCCCTGACGGTCAAGTGCGAGGAGATCGACTTTTTGAGATTTTCCAATGGGAACTTGTCGGCTGATTATGCAGATGCGCTCATTTCCTAGAAGAAGGTTGGGATCTTGCTCAAGCAGATCTTCAAAATCGCGTTCTTCTTCAAAGCGCAATGGATCCAGTTGTCGAAAGCCCTTTCCTTCCCATCGGTAGATTTCCATTGAACTATCCTTTCGCGTTCAGGGGATTTTTCGCAGGCGAGTATTTGACAGGACAATCTCCAGCATCAACAGGAGTGTTGCGAAGATTAGGGGGTACGCGGCGAGTTCCTTGTAGCGGGTGTATTCCGTGACCTCAATTTTCGTTGTTTCAAGTTGGTTAATCTCTTGATAAATCTCAGATAGTTTTTGATTATCGGTTGCCCGGAAATAGCGTCCGTCTGTAATCTCTGCGATCTGTTTGAGCGTTTCTTCATCAACATACGTTCGATTCGGACTATACTGTAGCCCGAAAATCGGATCATGGTATGGAATGAATGCGCCGTCCTCTTTCCCCATACCGATAGTATACACCTTGATGTCGAGGGCTTTGGCAGCTTGGGCAGCGGTCAATGGATCAATAGTTCCGGCGTTATTTTCTCCATCGGTAAGCAAAATCGCAATTTTGCTTTTGGCTGTTGAATGGCGCAGTCTATTGGTAGCATTGGCAAGGGCATCCCCGATGGCGGTGCCATCTTCAAGCATACCGATTTCGACATTGAGGAGCAGATTCCCAAGGACCCGATAATCGAGCGTGAGGGGGCATTGTGTGAAACTTTCACCGGCGAAAACAACCAATCCGATACGATCGTTCTTTCGGTCATCTAGAAAGTCGTGGATGACTGCTTTTGCTGCGTGCAAGCGATTATCAGGCTTGAAATCTTCCGCTCGCATACTTCCAGAAATATCGAGAATTAGCAGAATATCAATGCCCTCAGAGGCGATCTGTTGACGACTATGTGACGATTGTGGGCGTGCGAGGGCGAAAATCATTAGGACAATAACAAGAAATCGCACAAAATCTAGGAACGGAAGGCATCTGACCCAAAAACTGGGCGCAATCTGACGACTGATACTGAGATCTGAAAAGCGGATTCGCCCGTTGTTTTTTTGACTCAGATACCAAAGGAGGAACGGCAGAAGCAGGAGTAAGCAGAGGAATCCAGGATGATCCAATTGCAAGAGCACACCTCAAACTACTGAGCATATTTCTAGCATTATCGGCGATACTGTGGAGGAGCATATTCCCTGCGTTGGCTGTTGTCAGAACGAGTCGGTTTCTGACCAAACAGTGTTCGGAGGCTAACGCCAATCCCGATAGTGCTTGCAATAATGAAAGTTGGAATACTTAGGTAGGGAATCACTGTTGCCATTCGATAAATCCAGTATCCCACAACGACCGCGACGACATTTGATTGCTGTGGAAAGATTGTGCCTCCAATTGAGAGAAAAATTGCAGTTTTTCCGTAAATTGCTATTGGCAACAGGATGGCACTTAAGAGCATTGCGAACGGGATACCTGCAATCGAGAGAATGAGTAGGATTGACAAATAAGGCACGATTATCAGAATAATCAATCCGAGGAGTGTACTTCCAATTGGACGATGGGAAATAGTAGATGCCATATTGTTGATCTGTTGTGGAAATATCAGCACGAGTAGCAGATGGATGAACGTCAGTGTGATGAAGGTCATCAGTTCCCAACCAAACCATGCGTATTGCCGATCGCCCCATACTTCTTTTGGTATTCCTTCCATCATTAACGAAGCGGCTGCAGTTGCCAATCTCAAACCGTTAATTTCTTCGTAGGCATCGGTTTCATGCTTGGTATTGTTGCGTAAGCCTGCTTTACCGATAATTTCGCCCAAAACTACTGTAACTTTGCCAGCTATCTGTGCGCCTTGGTCAATTTTAACATTTCCACCAAATACAAAGACATAGCCCTTTACGCGTCCCTTGAATCTTTACATCTCCGGCGATTAAAATAATATCATTAACAACTTCTGTCGTCGCGATATTGACTCTACCACCGATTTGTGTAATTCGGGATACATCTCCTGGGTCGGTTGACAGGGTTGCTTTCCTAGGTGGGGAAGATGTTGCAGGTTCGATTGGATTGGGTTGTTCTGCCTGCTCGTAGGAATTTGTCTCGCTGCCCTCAATTTGGGCGATAACGGAATGGGAGGTGAGTGTTCCAAGACCGAGATATAGGATTATAACTAAATAGACTGATTTTGTCATTGAAGAGCCTCAAAGGGGAGGATGATATAATAGATATAATGCGTTTTTGAACACTGTTTTCGATATGTATTCAACTAAGTTTGAACCTAGGAAAGGGTAGGTTGCAGATAATGTGTTTCTTCACTGATAGGACTTACGCAAATTTGGCACACGGGGGTAGATTTTTGATTTTTAACCCCCTAAATCCCCCTTATCAGGGGGACTTATGAACGCGCTGCGTAAGTCCTAACCGATTTTTCTATATGATGTTTCACGATGCAGAATCGGTTAGATATAGGGTCGAAATGTAGGTTATATATGTATGTAGGTCAGCCGGAGTGACAATTTATCCATTTTGACCTATACAAGATATTGTATGATAATTGCTTCTTCTGTAGGATATATAGTAGGATACTATAAGGTATTTTAGCAAATTTGTCAATAAAAAATTACAGATGGTGCTTGATTTGAGGCGGAGTTTGTCACTTTTTTTTGACGATCTGAAGATTCATCTTACCAAACACCAACTAATCCTTGCTAAGATCCTGTGACATAGGGTAAAATTAGGGGCAAATATCCTCTGCTTTAATAAAAGGCTAAATCTACGACCGGAGTTAAATGGGCTTGAAAATTTTAACAAGATACACCCTCAAGGAATTTTTCCCACCTTTCCTTTTAGCACTTATTTGCTTCACCTCCATTCTACTGCTTGAAGAGATCTTCAGATTGACCAAGCTCTTCGTTAGCAAAGGTGTAAGTCCCCACTATCTGTTTCAATTGTTGGTTTATGTGCTGCCAGCAACGCTTGTTGTAACCATTCCGATGGCTACGCTGGTGGGGATTTTGCTCTCACTTGGCAGATTCTCGACGGATAATGAGATTACTGCCATGAAATCCCACGGTATTGGCTTCCATCAAATCCTTTTCCCCTTGCTGGCTGTCTCTAGTTTACTAACTGTTTTCGACTTCTTTTTTATGGATTATGCACTCCCTCGTGGTAACATTGCTTATGTTTCGTTGAAACATGACATAAGCAGGCGGCATTCTGCCTTTGTTCTTGAAGAGGGAGTGGTTATGAAAGAGTTAGAGCGCGAGGGAAAACTCTGGCTATATGAATCAACCGATCCGGATACGGGACGTTTGCAGGATGTGAAGGTATGGGATTCAATATGGCCGGGGCAGCCGCGCTTTGTGAATGCAAGGGAGGCTACAGTCGGATTTAGGGATGGGCAGGCGTGGTTGACGCTTTATGATGGGTTTACTTATGAGCCGATTTCCGATAGTGACAATGGTTTTCGGGTAACCACTTTTGCTGAAGATCAGATCGCCCTTGACTTTACGGAAACGTTGGAACGGACAGAGTTTGAATCTAAGAGTACCCGAAACATGCCGCTTGCCAAGCTGAAAAGCCATATCGGCGAACTTGAGGATCGTTTCAGCCAAAAACAATCGAAACCTCGTTTGGATAGGTTGCGATATGCACAGGTTGAATATCACAAGAAGTTTTCGATTCCTTTTGCCTGTTTTGTTTTCGGTTTAATCGGTGTGCCTCTTGGCTTGGTTGTGAAGCGGAGTGGCAAGATGGTGGGTTTTGGTATCGGACTTGGACTTGTTCTCGTATACTACCTGCTGCTCCAAGTTGGACAGGATACGGGGCGCAGTGGTGTCCTTCCTCCCGGCTTCGCGGTTTGGTTGCCAAACCTCGTTATAGGGTTATTGGGTTTGGGGTTCGCGATGCGGGTGATCTTTGAAGGTAAACTGGAGACGCAACAAAATCGAGAAAAGAAACCGCCGCCTTCTCAAGAGGTTGGAGAGTCGGATTGATAGAGTGTGTTGATTATCTTGTTAAAAAACGATTCGCATAGTATTGGCATATAGAGTAAGGATTGTTTCAGATGTATTGAACCGATACATTAAATAAGTATTTATTACATTTCAAGTTAGGTTTAGTATGAGAATTCTTGAGCGATATGTTTTAATTGAATACCTCAGAACATTTGCGTTAGCACTTGCTTTTTTCATTGCGCTGGTCATTATTGTGCGGTTGCTCGATAAGGATATTAAGCGTTTTGATGAGGATGTGTCTTATCTCACAGCGGTTCAAATTGTGCTCTTCCAAGCCCCTCGGCGGATTATGGAGGTTGTTCCGTTGGCGAGTTTTCTTGCCGTATTCTTTGTTTTGGGGCGAATGGTTCAAAACAACGAGTTGTCTGCTATGCAGACCGCCGGTATTAGCGTTTATCGCCTCCTCATCCCAATTCTAGTGTCCATGCTTTTGGTCTGCATCGCTTTTGTGGTTTTCTATGATCAGGTTGCTTCGCCTGCGTATCATCGTGCCAATCAATTGCAGAAGAAGATTCGCTTGCGTCGGAGTCGAAATGTTGTCTTCAAGGGGCAGCATAATCGATGGTTTTACATCCAAAATCTTGATTTGGAAAGCGGAACGATAGATCGGATGACGATTTATGAGTTGGATCAGAATGACGAGGTGACTCGGCAGATCTTTGCAAATTCAGCTACGTGGTCGCCGAACCAGTGGCATTTGTCGAAGGGATATGTTCGTCATTTTGAGGGAGCGTCCGAAACTACTTTTGAACCGTTTGTAATCAAGCAGATCGAGCGAGCGGAGGAACCGGAGCGTTTTGCAGGGAGCAATAAAAACCTACGGGCGATGACGATTGGAGAGCTGCGGCAGCAGATTAAATACAAACAGATGGCAGGACAGACGACACGGCGTGAAGAGGTCAAAGTGAACCATAAAATAGCGTATCCCTTTGCGGCGTTTGTTGTGATCCTGATTGGTGCTCCGATTTCGATTCGCTTTGGTGGTGCTGGGTTTTTTGCGGGGCTGCTCGTTGCCTTCTTCCTTGTTTTTATGTATTGGGGAATTTCGTTGGCGACCCTTGAAGGACTCGGCGAAAATGGGAAACTGCCGCCGATTGTTGCTTGTTGGGGTGCGAATGTGCTTTACGCGCTTATCGGAGGCGTTCTGATCTGGAAGACGCCTAAGTGAGCCGAGGTGGTGAGACATTCAGGAGTTTTTCAGGATGGTCAAATCTATCACGTCTCGTATCTCACGCTTCACTCCCGCTATTGGTCGCCTGCTCTTTCGGCTGCGCAGCCTCACAGCCATCCCGTTCATATTCATCTTAATCTATTTTGCCCGTCCTACATTCACTTCCGCGCTGATTGGTGCGATCCCTTTGATTCTTGGTGAGTTCTTACGTCTGTGGGCGGTTGGTTATGCCGGTGGTGCGACTCGTTCACGTACCTTAGGGGCTGCCAGTGATCTTGTGACGACGGGTCCCTACGCGCATGTCCGTAATCCGCTCTACTTGGGAAACTTGCTACTCAGTCTCGGTGTCTGCATCATTGCCAATGTTTACTGGATGATTATTGTGCTGCTGGTAGGATATTTTATCCAGTACCTCCCGATTATCGCTTCTGAAGAAGCATACCTACGGGACTTTTGCGGGACAGCGTATCAGACCTATTATACAGCCGTTCCTAGATTCATTCCCCGCCTTCGCAGCTACGCTAATCCTTCTGCACACAGTTTTTCTTTTTATCGGGCACTCAAAGCTGAAAAGCGCACGCTAACGGCAATTGCTTGCGTGATTGGGTTGATTGTGGGGTAGCTATGTTGGTTCATTAGTTCATTGAATTGATGAACCCTATATTAGGTTGTCCGGTTTCGTGGCAAAATCAGATATCTGAAAAACGGTTAGCCGAAAATTGATAGATTTTTTCTGTTGACATTTCAGAGACTTTTGATTAAGATAAAGTATACAATAATTATTTGCCAAGTTTTCCAATACCCGTGTTGGGTATTTAATGTGATAAAACCCCTCACTTTGAAAGGAGATTGATACTTTGCGAGCGTTTGAATATGTTCCCGCAAAAACTGTAGCTGAAGCTACCTCCTTGCTCGCCGAAAAAGGTGATCAAGCAAAACCCTTGGCCGGCGGAACAGATCTCATCGTTATGGTTCGGGAGAACCGGCGGCAGTTGGAACGGATGGTGGACATCAAGGACCTTCCTGAGACTAACGTGCTTTCATATTCCCCTGACACCGGTTTAGACCTCGGTGCGGCTGTTCCCTGTCATAAAATCTACGCGGACGATGCAATCTCTGCCGCATATCCTGGACTGATTGATGCTGCTAAGATTATTGGTGGAACCGCGATCCAAGGCAGGGCAAGCGTTGGTGGTAATCTGTGCAATGCCTCACCCGCTGCGGATACGATCCCGCCGTTGATAGTGTTGGGAGCCATTTGTGTAATTGCTGGTCCAAATGGATCGACGCGCGAGGTTCCTGTCGAGCAGTTCTGCACAGCACCGGGACAAACTGTCTTGGAAAAGGGTGAGCTTCTTGTGTCACTCAAGATTCCCCCGCCACCGACAAATTCGAGTTCGTTTTACCTCCGTTTTATCCCACGCAATGAAATGGACATCGCAGTTGTGGGTGCCGGTGCGTCTGTTGTTCTCGACGATACGAAGACATCCATTGTCTCCGCACGAATCGGGCTTGCTGCTGTTGCACCAACACCGCTGGTTGCTGAGGAAGCCGGTGCATCACTTGCTGGAAAGGAAATTTCTGATGAAGCGATCAACGCTGCTGCTGAAGCGGCACAGGCGATTGCGAGTCCAATCAGCGATATGCGTGGAACGGCTGAACAGAGAACACACCTTGTCGGTGTGTTGACACGTCGTGCCTTAAACGGTGCAATTCAACGAGTGAAGGAGGCATAAAAATAGATGCCTAGAAAAGTCCACGTTCAAACAACGATTAATGGTGAAGCAGCTGAATATTTATGCGAACCTCGCCAGAGCGTACTTGAGGTCTTGCGAGATGTACTTCATCTGACGGGTGCCAAAGAGGGTTGTAATAATGGAAACTGTGGTGCCTGCAGTGTGATTCTTGATGGGCGTCTGGTCAATTCGTGTTTGGTGCTTGGCGCTGAACTCGAAGGGAAATCGCTTGAAACGATTGAGGGGCTCGCCGAGCCGGATCAGCTTCATCCAATTCAAGATGCGTTTTTAGAAAATGCTGCCCTCCAGTGTGGTATTTGCACGCCCGGCTTTATCATGGCGGCAAAGGCATTGTTAGATCAAAATCCGAATCCAACTGAGCACGAAATCCGCTATTGGTTAGCGGGTAATCTGTGTCGTTGTACTGGATACGATAAAATTGTACGTGCTGTCCAAGATGCAGCGCAAACTACGTCTTAGGAGGTAAGGGCATAATGGCAGAAAAGAAAGATTACAAAGTCGTTGGGACTCGTCCCATTCGCCACGATGGCCTTGATAAGGTTACTGGCCGCGCCCTTTACGGCGCAGATTTTCAAGCTGTAGGACTGTTACACGGCAAAGTCCTGCGTAGCCCCTACGCGCATGCGCGGATTAAGTCGATTGATACGAGTCGCGCAGAAGCTCATCCCGGCGTGAGGGCAGTTGTCACAGCAAAAGATTTTCCTGCTGTCGAAAATAAGATCGCCGATCTTGGAGAGGGCGCAACCAACGTAAAAGACCTCCAAGATAACGTACTGGCTGGCGAGAAGGCTCTCTACAAAGGGCATCAGGTCGCAGCGGTTGCAGCGATTGACCCCCATACAGCTGAAGAGGCACTTGAACTCATTGATGTTGAGTATGAGGTGCTGCCTCCGGTGGTGAAGGTGCTCGATGCAATGAAGGAAGATGCACCGCTTCTGCACGAGGACATGAGAACCGATGAGATGGGGGAAAAGGCGGATAAGCCGAGCAACATTGCGGCTCATTTCCAGCACAAACAGGGCGACCTCGACAGAGGTTTTGCCGAAGCCGATGTTGTCGTTGAGCACGACTATACAACAGAGACCGTGCATCAAGGCTATATCGAGCCTCACAATGCGACTGCGCTGTACAACCCCGATGGACAGTTGACAATCTGGTGCAGTACGCAGGGTGCATTCGCTGTCCGAGGGCAGGTATCTGAGATTCTCGATATACCTGTTTCAAAGGTTAAGGTTGTGCCGATGGAAATTGGCGGTGGTTTTGGTGGAAAGATTCAGGTTTACATCAAACCTATTGCCGCTATGCTTTCCAAGAAAACAGGGCAAACCTGTCAAGGTCTTGATGAGTCGGGCGGATGTATTTGAAGGCACAGGTCCGACGCCGGGTTCCGCCGTGTATGTGAAGATGGGCGCGACGAAGGATGGACGCATCACCGCTGCGGAAGCCTCTCTGGCGTTTGAAGCCGGTGCATACGCCGGTTCACCTGTTGGGGCGGCGGCGTTCTGTGTTTTCTCGCCTTACAAGGTTGAAAATGCACAGGTTGATGGATATGATGTGGTCGTTAATAAGCCGAAGTCCTCCGCATATCGCGCGCCTGGCGCGACAAATGCTGCATTCGCGGCAGAGACAGTCATTGACGAAATTTGTGAGAAGATTGGGATGGATCCGCTCGAATTCCGTATCCTCAACAGCGCGAAAGAGGGGGATATCCGCGTCGATGGTCCTCCGACTCCGCGTGTCGGTTTCGTCGAAACGGTTGAAGCTGCAAAGGATCATCCACACTACTCAGCACCGCTTGAAGGTGAGAATACAGGACGTGGTGTCGCTTCCGGTTATTGGCCCAACTTCGGTATGAAATCGAGTGTTGCGATTAACGTCACTTCGGATGGGACGATTAGTCTTGTCGAAGGGTCAACCGATATCGGTGGCACACGCGCATCGATTGCGATGCAAGCAGCGGAAGTTCTGGGCATTCCCGCTGAGTCAGTGACGCCTTCTGTGGCTGATACCGACTCCGTTGGTTACACAGATGTAACAGGTGGAAGCCGTACCGCGTTTGCAACTGGATACGCCGCTTACGAAGCCGCACAAGATGTCAAGCAACAGATGATTGAACGTGCTGCGAAACTGTGGGAAGTTGACTCAGAAGAAGTACAATTTGCCGATGGCGTATTTAAATCCGTTAATGGCAAGGAACAGGAGATCGACTTCAAAGGTCTGGCAGCAAGGTTGGATGAGACCGGTGGTCCCGTCCTTGGACGCGGCACTGCGGATCCAAACCAACCCGGTCCTTCAATCGGTCTACACGTTGTTGATGTCGAGGTTGATCCGGATACTGGCAAGGTTCAGATCTTGCGTTACACGGCGACCCAAGATGCTGGCAAGGCTATCCACCCCAGCTATGTCGAAGGACAGATACAGGGTGGGGCTGTTCAAGGTATCGGTTGGGCGTTGAACGAGGAATACATCTACAATGAAAAGGGCGAGATGACCAACGCCAGTTTCCTCGATTACCGTATACCGACCTGTCTTGACCTGCCGATGATTGATGCTGTCATCGTTGAAGTTCCAAACCCCGGTCATCCGTTTGGGGTTAGGGGGGTTGGCGAAACGCCAATTATCGCGCCACCTGCTGCTATTGCAAATGCGGTCTATCGTGCAATCGGCGTTCGGATGACAGAGTTACCGATGTCGCCGGGGCGTGTCCTCAAAGCAATGGGCAAGATTTAAGTATGTGGTCGTAAATTTTTATATTTCAGATTCGCTCCGTTTATCAAACTGGGTGGGTCTGTAACTACAATCAGGGATACAGGGTTTTCTTTTGCCTTGTATCCCTGATTTACTTTAATTTACAGAAGGTATTTCATACCATGGCAACAATTGCAATTCCTTCACTCATGCAGAAACTAACCGACGGTGCAGACCAAGTCGTTGTGGAAGGGAAAACGCTGCGAGAAGTGGTCAATAATCTCGAAGCGGTTCACCCCGGTTTCAAAGATCGCCTCTGTGATGGTGACCGGATTCGTCCCAGTATTGCGGTGTACATTGATGGCGTTATGACTCGTGAAGGGATGCATCAACCCGTAGGCGAGGCGGCGAACATCCATTTTGTGCCAGCGGTTAGTGGCGGTTTATCCTGCCCTGAAAAAGATTTGTATTAAACCGGGAAAAATGTGTGTTTTCTCTTGACAGGGTGGAAGGCGTATGTTATAATCCCATTCGCTTCCGTTAAGGAAGATTGAAAGATGCTCTTTGAAAGCTAAATAGTTTTTGTTACGCGCTACGTTTTTTGATTTTTGATAGCAATTGATAGGGCTTGTATATTGTACAAAGTCCTCCTGTCGACTTAGAAATTCCTCCCCTAACCTTAAAAGTTAGGCTGGTTTTTCTTTTAGACTTATTGGAGAGTATGATACCGGCTCAGGACGAACGCTAGCGGCGTGGATTAGGCATGCAAGTCGTACGAGAATCAGTGGCTTCGGCCGCTGAGGAAAGTGGCGAAAGGGTGAGTAACGCGTAGGTAATCTACCCTTGAGATAGGGATAACAGTTCGAAAGGGCTGCTAATACCGTATACGATTGGACTTCCTTCGGGATATCCAATGAAAGGTGGGTCTTCGGATCTGTCACTCAAAGAGGAGCCTGCGTCCTATTAGCTAGTTGGTGAGGTAACGGCTCACCAAGGCTACGATGGGTAGCTGGTCTGAGAGGATGATCAGCCACATTGGGACTGAGACACTGCCCAAACTCCTACGGGAGGCTGCAGTCGAGAATATTTCGCAATGGGGGAAACCCTGACGATGCGACGCCGCGTGGGGGATGAAGGTCTTCGGATTGTAAACCTCTGTGTTATGGGAAGAATTGCTGGTGGGTGATAAGCCTGCTAGCTTGACGGTACCATAGTAGAAAGCCCCAGCTAACTGCGTGCCAGCAGCTGCGGTAATACGTGGGGGGCGAGCGTTGTCCGGATTTACTGGGCGTAAAGCGTGTGTAGGCGGCTATATAAGTCGAGTGTGAAATAGCTTGGCTCAACCAAGCAACTGCGCTTGATACTGTATGGCTTGAGTACGGAAGAGGAAAGTGGAATGTAAGGTGTAGCGGTGAAATGCGTAGATATCTTATAGAACACCTATGGCGAAGGCAGCTTTCTGGTCCGATACTGACGCTGAGTACACGAAAGCTTGGGGAGCGAACGGGATTAGATACCCCGGTAGTCCAAGCTGTAAACGATGGGTACTAAGTGTAGGGGGTATTGATTCCTCCTGTGCTGTAGCTAACGCATTAAGTACCCCGCCTGGGGAGTACGGCCACAAGGTTAAAACTCAAGGTAATTGACGGGGGGCCGCACAAGCGGTGGAGCATGTCGCTTAATTCGAAGCAACGCGAAGAACCTTATCCAGGGCTTGACATCGCGCTGACCGCCATAGAAATATGGCTTTCCTTTTGGACAGCGTGACAGGTGCTGCATGGCTGTCGTCAGCTCGTGTCGTGAGATGTTGGGTTAAGTCCCGCAACGAGCGCAACCCCTGTCGCTAGTTACCATCAGGTAATGCTGGGGACTCTAGCGAGACCGCTGGTGACGAGCCAGAGGAAGGTGGGGATGACGTCAAGTCCGCATGGCCCTTATGCCCTGGGCTGCACACGTGCTACAATGGTCGGTACAGAGGGAAGCAAGACCGCGAGGTGGAGCAAATCCCAAAAAGCCGACCTCAGTTAGGATTGTAGTCTGCAACTCGACTGCATGAATTTGGAATCGCTAGTAATCGCGGATCAGCAGGTCGCGGTGAATATGTTCCCGGCCCTTGTACACACCGCCCGTCACGCCATGGAAGTCGGTAGCGCTCGAAGACGGTGAGCTAACCTTCGGGAGGCAGCTGGCGAAAGCGAGATCGATGACTGGGGCGAAGTCGTAACAAGGTAACCGTAGGGGAACCTGCGGTTGGATCACCTCCTTTCTAAGGAGTCAAGGGCATTTATGCCCGAGCTCGTTAACTTGCGCATATCGGAAATCTATTTAGCTTTCTTAGACGGCATCTTTTATTTTTGTAGGGGCTTATAGCTCAGACGGTTAGAGCGCGCGCCTGATAAGCGCGAGGTCTCTGGTTCGACTCCAGATAAGCCCACCATGTCTATGTGGGGGTGTAGCTCAGTTTGGGAGAGCGTCTGCTTTGCACGCAGAAGGCCAGCGGTTCGACTCCGCTCATCTCCACTAAGCGTAACAGCTTTTGATCTTTGACAATTGTATAGATTTGAATTCGGCTTTTAAAGATTTTATCAAGCTACTAAGGGCTTACGGTGGATGCCTTGGCGCCAGGTAGCGATGAAGGGCGTGACAAACTGCGAAAAGCTTCGGGTAGTTGTTTAGTAAGCATTGATCCGGAGATCCCCGAATCGGGCAACCGGGCAGGTTTTACCTGTCATCCCGGCATTTGTCGGGAAGCTAACCAGGAGAAGTGAAACATCTCAGTAACCTGAGGAACAGAAAGAAAACTCGATTCCCCCAGTAGTGGCGAGCGAAAAGGGAAGAGCCTAAACCGGGTATATGTTAAAGTCCATATACGTTGTATACCTGGGGTTGTGGGGTAATGTTGGGCTTGAGTATGGTCAAGCCGGGAAGTGATAAACCAAATTCTTAACTTAATGTTTCTGGAATAGGACAACCAAAGAGGGTAATAGTCTCGTGAGTGAAAAGAATTTGGCTTCCTGAACGTTATTCCCAAGTACTATGGGATAGCCTAAACCTGTAGGAATCTAGGAGGACCACCTCCTAAGGCTAAATATGACTTGGCGACCGATAGTGAAGAAGTACTGTGAAGGAAAGGTGAAAAGTTCCCCTGCTAGGGAAGTGAAATAGTCCCTGAAACCGTACAGCCTACAAGCTGTGGAAGTGCTAAGTCTCGATTCGTCGAGACACGCATGACTGCGTGCCTTTTGCATAATGAGCCGGTGACTTACTCTGTGTAGCAAGGTTAAGCTTTTTTGAAGCGTAGCCGTAGCGAAAGCGAGTCTGAATAGGGCGAAATAGTTGCATGGAGTAGACCCGAAACTGGGTGATCTATCCATGGGCAAGGTGAAGCATACGTAAAAGTATGTGGAGGCCTGAACCCACCAAGGCTGAAAACTTGGGGGATGACCTGTGGATCGGAGTGAAAGGCTAATCAAACCCAGTGATAGCTGGTTCTCCCCGAAATAGCTTTAGGGCTAGCCTCATGTGTTTGGCAGTGGTGGTAGAGCTCTGATTGGACTAGCGGCCCCACCAGGTTAGCAACTCCAGTTAAACTGCAAATGCCATTGTCTCAAGCATGGGAGTCAGTCAGTAGGGGATAAGCTCTACTGACGAAAGGGATAAGAGCCCAGATCGCCAGCTAAGGTCCCCAAATACAGGCTAAGTGGTAAAGGATGTGTCGTTGCCCAGACAGCCAGGATGTTGGCTTAGAAGCAGCCATTCATTTAAAGAGTGCGTAATAGCTCACTGGTCAAGTGGCTTCGCACCGAAAATTCTCGGGGCTTAAGCCTGTTACCGAAGCTGCGGATTTTGACCCACGCGCCGGTTCGCCGACAGCGGGGTTGAAGTGGTAGGGGAGCGTTCTATAGTAGGATGAAGGTGAATCGGAAGATACACTGGACAAATTAGAAGTGATTATGCCGGCATGAGTAGCGATAAAACAAGTTAGAAGCTTGTTCGCCGAAAGCCTAAGGGTTCCTGGGCAAGGCAATTCCACCCAGGGTCAGTCGGATCCTAAGCTGAGGCCGAAAGGCGTAAGCGATGGGTAGCAGGCATAATATTCCTGCACCACCATTACAAGGACTGAAGCTAGGGGAGACGCAGGCATTAGGACCTACCAGCGGATGGATGTGCTGGGCTAAGCCCGACAGAGGGGACTTCAGGTAAATCCGGAGTCTCATTACTCTGAGAGGTGATAGGGATTCCGTAAGGATACAAACTGGTCTAGTTGTCTGCCAAGAAAAGAACCTCAAGTGGACGCGTAATGGTGTCCGTACCGCAAACCGACACAGGTAGGCGAGGAGAGAATCCTAAGGCGCTCGAGAGAACTCTCGCTAAGGAACTCGGCAAAATGACCCCGTAACTTCGGGAGAAGGGGTGCTTTGAGTAGGTGATGCATCTTGCATGCGGATCCGAAAAAAGCCGCAGTGAAGTGGTCCGTGCGACTGTTTACTAAAAACACAGGTCTCTGCAAAATCGTAAGATGATGTATAGGGACTGACGCCTGCCCGGTGCCATATGGTTAAGGGAAAGAGTCAAGGGTTCGCCCGGCAGCTCTGAACCGAAGCTTCAGGTAAACGGCGGCGGTAACTATAACCGTCCTAAGGTAGCGAAATTCCTCGTCGGGTAAAATCCGACCTGCACGAATGGCGTAACGACATGGACACTGTCTCGGCGAGAGACTCGGCGAAATTGTAATACCGGTGAAGATGCCGGTTACCCGTAACAGGACGGAAAGACCCCGTGAACCTTTACTATAGCCTGATATTGGGTTTTAATGTAGCTTATGTAGGATAGGTGGGAGACTGTGAAACTGGGGCGCTAGCTTCAGTGGAGTCGTCCTTGAAATACCACTTCTGTTGCATTGAGATTCTAACTCTGGTCCGTGATCCCGGATCGAAGACAGTGTCAGGTGGGTAGTTTGACTGGGGCGGTCGCCTCCCAAAACGTAACGGAGGCGCCCTAAGGTTCCCTCAGCGCGATTGGAAACCGCGCGTAGAGTGTAAAGGCAGAAGGGAGCTTGACTGCGAGACAGACATGTCGAGCAGGTGCGAAAGCAGGGCTTAGTGATCTTGCGGTTCTGTGTGGAAAGGCCGTGACTCAACGGATAAAAGGTACTCCGGGGATAACAGGCTGGTCGCGCCCAAGCGTTCATAGCGACGGCGCGGTTCGGCACCTCGATGTCGGCTCATCACATCCTGGGGCTGCAGCAGGTCCCAAGGGTTGGGCTGTTCGCCCATTAAAGTGGTACGTGAGCTGGGTTTAGAACGTCGCAAGACAGTTCGGTCCCTATCCGTTACGGGCGTAGGATATTTGAGAGGATCTGCCGCTAGTATGAGAAGACCGTGGTGGACGAACCTCTAGTGTACCAGTTGTCGCGCCAGCGGCATCGCTGGGTAGCTATGTTCGGAAGAGATAAACGCTGAAAGCATCTAAGCGTGAAACTCGCCTCAAGATTAGATATGCTGCAGAGTTAATCTGGTAAGGCTCCTCTGAGACTAAGAGGTTGATAGGCCAGAGGTGTAAGCAGTGTGAACTGTTTAGCTGACTGGTACTAATAAGCCGAGGGCTTGATAACTTTATTCTATAGCTTAATATTCAAATCTATACAACTGTCAAATATTTACAATTGTCAAATATTTTGGAATAATAGATTCCCATATTTTCCGGTGGCAAGAGCAGAGGGGAAACACCCGTACCCATTTCGAACACGGCAGTTAAGCCCTTTAGCGCTGATGATACTTCGAGGGTAACCTCGTGGGAAAGTAGGTCGTTGCCGGGAAGCTTAATAAATGAAGCCTCAATCTTTTGATTGGGGCTTTTTTCATGTCGAAAAAAGGCTTTCACAATTCGTAAGACAATTTTCTTGCATCCACCTTGCCTGTATGCTAAAATACGCTAGAATCTATGAATAGGAGCGAAAGAAATGTCAGGTCATTCAAAATGGTCATCAATTAAGCACCATAAGGCTGCTGTCGATGCGAAGCGTGGCAAGCTCTTCTCCAAATTGATTAAGGAGATTACGGTTGCAGCGCGAGCCGCCGGTGCTGATACCCAAGTGAATCCGCGTTTGAGGTCTGCGGTGTTAGCTGCAAAGTCGAAGAATGTTCCGAATGATAACATCGAAAAGGCGATTCTACGCGGCACAGGTGAACTTGACGGCGTGGATTATGAAGAAATTCTATATGAAGGGTATGGTCCGGGTGGGGTTGCAATCATGATCGATGTCTTGACGGATAACAGGAATCGAGCGATTGCGGATGTCAGACATATTTTAACCAGGCATAGTGGAAGCATGGGTGAGCGTGGCTGCGTTTCGTGGTTATTTGATAAGCGTGGTTGGATGATTATCGAAAAGGGTAGTATTGACGAAGATGAGCTTTTTATGATTGCACTGGATTCGGGGGCGGAGGATTTGACAGTTCAGGATGAGCACCTTGAAATTATTACGTCTCTTGAGAATTTTGAGGCGGTTAGAGAAGCGGTTGAGGTGTCCGGCGCAACGATTCTGGAAGCTGAACTAACGATGCTGCCCCAAAATACGGTGAAATCGGAAGGTAAGGAAGCGGAGCGGATGTTGCGGTTGATGGAGGCTTTGGAAGATAGCGACGATGTCCAGAAGGTTTATGCAAACTTCGACATCCCTGATGATATTTTGGAAGCTGCGGCTTGATTCTATCGGTCCATGTCAAAAGAAAATACAAAACGCACAGAGTGTGAAACGTGAAAACAGTTTGTTCATTAGTACATTGGTTCATTAATGAACTAGCGAACTAATGTACTAAATCGGTTTTTGTTGCGCGATTTTTTAACATGAACCATTCTATCTTACTGAACAATGATTCTACTTGGAATAGACTCCGGAATTGCGAATACTGGCTATGGTGTTATCAAAGCTGAGTCATCAACGTTCACCCCGCTTGCTTTCGGCTGCATCCGGACAGCGTCGAAGGATGAATCTGCACAACGTTTGAAAGCTATCTATGACGAACTGGTTCAGTTGGCTGCTGAATATCAACCGGAGTTATTTGTACTTGAAGACCTTATCTTTAGCAAGAATGTGACCAGCGCATTTGCTGTGGGAGAGGCACGAGGTATCGCTAAACTTTGTTGCTGCAAGTACAAATCGGCAGGTCTACAGTTATCCAGCTGCTCAGGTCAAGCAAGCAGTTGTTGGATATGGTAAAGCGAGTAAGCGTCAAGTCCAAGAGATGGTCAAGCTTTTGCTCAGGCTCAAAGAGATACCTCGTCCAGATCATGCAGCAGATGCGCTTGCCCTCGCAATTTGTCATGCACGTTCCCATAGAGTACTTCAACTGCGCGAAAGGCACATCCGTTCATGATTTCGTTTGTAAAGGGCGTCTTAGCCGTCAAGGATTCAACACAAGTCATTGTTGATGTTAACGGGATCGGATATAGTGTTGACATTGGAGAGCGGACAAACAGCCAATTACCAGAGGTTGGATCCGAGATCACACTTTACACGCATTATCATTGTCGGGAAAACGAAGTCAAATTGTATGGGTTCGCTTCACGCGATGAACTCAGAGTCTTTGAAACCGCCCTTGTGGTAAAAGGGGTGGGTCCCTCCTTAGCATTAAATATCGTTTCAAAACTCTCCCCCGCTGAATTCCAGCGTGCGATTCGCGAGGGCGATCACGCCACTTTAATGCGAGTGCCGCGTCTCAATAAAGAACTCGCACAACTGACGATAATGAAACTGAAGAACACCATTCGTAAGGTTCATTTTGACGCCGAAGTTGATGAAGGCTGGCAGCGGCGAACACACGGAGGCGGGTGTGAAGGTTTTGGTGGGCTTGGGAGCTTCTGAATCTGCAGCGGAGCGAGCAATCGCGGATGCCCAGAAAATCTTGGGACCTACAGCAAAACGGGAAGAGTTGGTTCGATTGGCTCTTACTCGATTGAATCAGTGAGTTTGACCCATGAATACTGATAAAGAGATGCAAACCCTTCTCAGCGATTCGGATAGCGAGGGACTGGAGGACAGCCAATACAGCCTCAGACCGCAGACCCTTGATGAATTCATCGGGCAAGGGCGAGTTAAAAAGCAGCTGCGTATTCACATTGAAGCCGCCAAAAGTAGGGGACAGGCATTAGCACATATTCTCTTTGTAAGCCCGCCGGGCTTGGGTAAGACAACATTGGCACGGATTGTTGCCAACGAGATGGGAAGCAGCTTTAAGTCGGCAGTCGGGCCGGCGATGGAACGTCTGGACATCGCGACACTATTAACCAATCTTGAAGAGAGGGCAATCTTTTTTATCGATGAAATCCATCGTATGAAAGGTTATGTTCAGGAATCGATGTATCCTGCGATGGAGGATTATAAGATAGATTTGCCCATCGGTCAGGGACCTGCGGCAGATATTATTACCGTGCCGCTCGCCCATTTCACCCTTGTGGGAGCAACAACTCGTGAAGGCTTGTTAGGCGGACCGTTTCGAGATCGCTTCGGCAACCGCATCCATCTCGATTATTACTCACCTGAGGAGATTCAGATTGCTATCAACCGACTCAGCGAGCGGCTGCAGCCATCCGTTAAAATTGAGGAAGATGCAGAATACGAGTTGGCTCGCCGTTCACGAGGCACCATGCGTATTGCGGAGAATATGTTGAGAAAGGTCAGGGATTACGCAACCGTTGAATCAGACGGAATTATCACATATGAAATTGCTCAGGAAGCGTTGGATTTTTTCGAGATTGACGAACTTGGCTTAGATGACAACGATAGAACCTATCTGCGAACGATGATTGAGAAGTTTCGTGGACGGGCAGGTCTGAAGGCGATGGCGGTCGCTGTCAGTGAAGATGAGCGCACCATCGAAGAGGTCTACGAACCCTACTTAATTAAGCTCGGCTTTTTGACCCTGACACCGATGGGGCGAGTCGCAACAGATGCAGCTTATCAGCACCTCGGCTATCCAACGCCTGAGTATCAGTCAACACTTTTCTAAACAAACATATTATCTTTCTTTTAATTTGTAAAAAGGCCTTGCCAATTTAATCCTTCCGTAACTATAAAAGCATGAAACTCACCGATTATGACTATGACCTGCCCGAAGCACTAATTGCCCAGCAGCCTTGCCCGCAAAGGGATGGATCCCGCTTGATGGTGGTGGATCGGCGACACGCAAAATTCACCACACGCAATTCTCCCAAATTGGCGAGTTTCTCCCCACCCGTTCCCTGCTTGTCATCAACGAGACTAAAGTTATTCCAGCGCGACTAATAGGGCGGAAACTGCCGACGGGTGGAAAAATTGAGTTGCTCTTAACCCGTCAGAAGGGGGAAAATACTTGGGAGGCACTGGTAAAGCCGGGCAGACGTGTTACGCATGGGACGCGTATCACCTTTGGAGAGGGAGCCTTAACGGGAAAAGTTCTTGCCAAATCGTCGCTTGGTCTTTATACTGTCCGATTCAAATATAATGGTGATTTCGAGGAGATTCTCGCCCAAGTGGGCAGAGTTCCCTTGCCACCCTACATCAAGCGTGAACCGAGCCGCACTGACAAAGAGGAGTATCAATGTGTCTATGCGAAGGAGGCGGGAGCAATCGCTGCGCCAACGGCGGGATTACATTTTACGTTAGCGTTATTGGATAAACTCAAGCGAGATGGGATTCACCGTGTAACTCTCACGCTACATGTTGGACTCGGCACGTTCCAACCGGTCAAAGTGGAAAATATTGAGATGCACAAGATGCACTCGGAGTATTTTGAGCTTTCTCAAGCAAGTGCCAGTCAGATCAATACTGCAAAGGGGGAAGGGCGAAAAATCGTTGCAGTCGGGACCACTTCCGTTCGCACCCTTGAAACGATTGCTTCGGATTGCAGCGTTGACTCGTATCAAGGGTATACGGATATTTTTATATATCCCGGCTATCAGTTCAAAGTTGTTGATGCTTTGGTAACTAATTTTCATTTGCCAAAATCAACCTTACTCATGCTCGTCAGTGCATTTGCCGGGCGTGAATTTATTTTTGAAGCTTACCAAGAAGCAATTGCACAAAAATATCGCTTTTATAGCTATGGCGATGCGATGCTTATTCTTTAATTTGGAGGATATGAATTATGGATTTTCTTAGTGCTTTCTTTCCGATTCTGTTGATGATACCTATTTTGTACTTTCTGATTTTACGTCCTGAACAGTTGAAGCGAAAAAAACATCAAGCGATGCTGAGTAACTTGACGAAGGCGGACGAAGTTGTCACGACGGGTGGGTTACATGGGAAAATTGTGGGCGTGGATAAAGATCTTGTCGTTCTGATAATTTCAGAAAATGTTAAGGTCGAGGTGTCACGAAGCGCGATCGCTTTCAAAAAGAAGGCGGGTGAGTTGATTGAAGGTGAATAGACAATTTGGATAGTCTCGCCCCTTTTGTCAACTACCCCGCCCTGAAGGACGGGGCTTGTGATACCGTCCAACGGGACTTACGCTTGGGCAATTATCTTACCCACGACGCTAACTCGGTACTTTAACAAGCCCTAAAAGATAGCGCGGTTATGCGGCTCTGGCTCGTAACTTTACACACCCGCCACCGCACGGCTATAGCATCCGTTTAGGTATATTCATGACGTATCGGTGATAGCATCGCTTCAACACCCGGGTGAAACCTCAGACAAACTGCCTATCACATCGAAGTGAGAGGGCAGCGTTAAACGAGCGTTCAACTGAAGTCCTCGAGTTACAAACTATATTCTACCATACATCTACCAAAAAAGTGTAAGGTAGACTACAAAAACGAAAAAAAGGAGGCGGAATTCCCTCCCCATGCTAAAGCAAGGGGTTTCCATCCCGAAGATTTGATGAAAAAGATTGGCAGACTCCATGTTATCACGGATACAATTATCCAATCGCGGTTTACGCATGCGGAATTGGCAAAGATGGCGATTGAGGGTGGGGCTGACACTATCCAGTTTCGTCAGAAGGATGGGAGTACACGCGAATTGGTCGAATCCGCACAAGCGGTGCAAGTTGTTTGTGCGGAGCATGGGGTTTCCTTAGTTGTCAACGATCGGGCGGATCTTGCCCTCGCTGTCGGTGCAGCGGGTGCCCATTTTGGACAGGATGATCTGCCAATTGCGGTTGGGCGGCGAATCCTTCCGCCAAAAATGATTATTGGGGCTTCGGCACGGACGGAGGAGAAGATTCTCGAAGCTATCTCTGTGGGGGCAGACTACATTGGGTTCGGTCCTATCTATCAGACCTCCTCGAAACCGGATGCAGAATTGCCAAAGGGGCTGGAAGCCCTGCGGCGGATGTCCGAAATCGCGCAGTGTCCCATCATTGCCATTGGTGGTATTACGGCTGAAACGGCATACGAGGTCATCCGCTCTGGTGCCCACGGAATCGCTGTTATTTCAGCGGTTTGTGCACACGCGGATCCGGTGGCTGCAACCCGTCACTTATGGGGCGAGATTCAACGTGCTGAAGTGAGTATGGGCGCGTAGCTTTTTTATTGATAAAAATCTTAAAAACAGTAATGCCGGTTGTAAACCTCCCCAGAGCACACACCGTTTAGAATAGAAAATTTACTTATCCTTATTGCTGCGGGAAGTTAGTCATGGACAGAATCGTTGAAGATGAAATGCTAGTTGCACAATTTCAAGCCGGTCGCCTCGATGCATTCGATGATCTGATGAAGCGATACAAAGGGCAGATCTACGCCTATCTACTCAGGTCTGTGAAAAATTATGAAGATGCTGAGGAGTTGACGATTGAAGTCTTTTTTAAGGTATATCGCGCGCTTGACACTTGGAAGACCGCAAGCCCGTTTCTCAACTTGGCTTTATAAAATTGCTCATAACCTGTCAATTGATTTCCACCGCGCAAAATCGCGCCGACATACCTACTCGCTTGATGATGAAGAGTTTTCCGTTGACGAACCAACAGCCGTTGATTTTGTGGAGTAATCCCGAATGGGAGCTTGAGGAAAAAGATCGACATCGGGTTATCCGTGAGGCAATAGATCAACTTTCGCCAAAACAGAAAGCTGTTTTTATGTTGAATCGTTACCAAGGGTTACAGATTAAGGAAATCACGGAAGTCCTTGGAATAGCGGAAGGAACAGTTAAGATTCACCTGCACCGTGCGGTAAGAAAACTACAGACTCTGCTGCAACCCCTCTGGGAGGGAAATGACATTTAACGCTGGGATGGATACGAAATAAGTGATTAACGATATAAGCAAAGCAGGCAATACTGTTTCGATTGTAACCTTCTTTGGTGGTAGATTGCGTTTAATAAAATGTCTATCGAGCGAATTAATGTTATAGATGGATTGGTGGACAAAGTTAGTATAGATAATGAAAATCTTAGAATTATTGAAGCCAAGGAATCACAAAAGGAAATTCTGCAACGGCTGCTTGAACTCTATCAATATGACCTGAGTATCGTAACTGATGATGATGTTGACCAGTTCGGTTTATACGGCTATTCATATCTTGACTATTACTGGGTAGAAGAAAAAAGATATCCCTACTTGTTCCTGTTTCGAGAATCTCTTGCTGGATTTGCACTTGTCAACAAGGCGAATTGGCTACCTGAGAATGATGGAGCACACCCCATGGCGGAGTTCTTTGTTCTGAAGAAATATAGGCGGCAAGGTCTCGGAACTGTAGCGGCACAATATGTCATTAACCGTTTTCCCGGAAAATGGGAAAGCAGAATCCTTCGTGAGAATCAGTCAGCAATCCAGTTCTGGAGGCAGGTAATCAACAATTTGACTTCTGGACGGTTTGTCGAACGGATTCCAGATCCGCACCTTTGGCGCGGTCCTGTATTCTCATTTATGAACGGTACTGTTAAATCATCATTCCCCAAGGAGTTTGCCGAATGATAAAATGTAAACAGTTGGAAAAATTCTACACAGAATATGTTTGTGACCTGCTCGATGAGGAGCAGACTGCCTGCATTGAGGAACATTTGCGTGGTTGCTCTACCTGTACCCACGAAGTTGAAGCCTTGCAAAAAACTTTGCGCCTCACCGGAGAGGCGAAGGGGATACCCATTCCCCCCGCCATTCTTGATAACATTGAAAGGAATGTCTACAAGCGTTTGGCGACAGAATCTCCGTCCTCCAAACGAGCACGTTTCTTCTCGAAACTCTTTACTGCTTTTCGGTTGCCCGGTGTAAGGCGCGGACCCACTTGGATCTTTCGTAGTGCACTAGCGACCCTTGCGCTAGTAATTAGTATTTCGATTGCCACGGTTTTTATCAACCAAGACCAATCGTTAGAAGTTTCAATCAGTGCCATTCCGATACAATCTCCTCACGAAAGGATTGAATTGTATCGACAAGCAGAGATTTGGAACAACCGCACTGAAGCACTTGAAAAAATACGAGGGGGGGGACGGGGGGGGGGGGGGGGCCGACGGGGGACAGGGGGGGGGGGACGGACGGGGGGGGAACTGGGGGGGGGGGGACAAAGAGGTGGGGGCGGGGGTAGGGAATACTTACGACGCGGTGGATGGGGGACGGGGGGCGGGGGGGGGGGAGACGGGGGACCAATGGACAGGGTGGGGGGGGGGGGAGGGGGGGGGTGGGGGGTGGGGCGGGGGGGAAGACTGGGAGAGCGGGGGACGGGGGGGCGGGGGGAGGGGTGGGGGGGGCAGGACGGGGGGGGACATTGGGGGGGGGGTGGGGGAACGAAGGGGGGGGGGGGACGGGGGGGGGGACGGGGGGTGGGGGGACCGGGGGGGGGGGGGGGGGGGGACATTTGACCGGGGGGAAGGACTAACGACATTTGTGGGGGGGGGGGGGGGGACAGAACGACGGGGGGGTGGGCCGGGGGGAGGACACGACGGGGGGGGGTGTAGAAGGACTGGGACGGGGAGACACGAGGGACCCGGGAGGGGGGGGGGTGGGGCCAACGAAGGGGGGACGGGGGAAGGGGGGGGGGGGGGGACGGGGGCCGGACATGGGGGGGAGGGGGGGGGGGGGGGGGGGGACGACGGGACGGGGGGGGGACAGGACGTGACAGGGGGGGGGGGGAACGGAGAGAAGGGGGGGGGGAGGGGGGGGGGTGGGGGGACATGGGGGGGGTGGAACATTTGGGGGGGAGGGGGGGGACCATTGAAGGGTGACGAACGGTTGGCAACGCTCCAACTGCTGGTATTGGCAGAGCAGGCTCCCTAAGACAAAGTTGCTTTGCATCCCGATTGATCGGGGTGGGGAGGGATGGAAGAATGGAAGGATTCGTTTTGCATCGTTCGCAATAATCTCATGCGTGAAATGTATTGTTTGCGCTGCTACTTTTTGTCTGGTACTTTTCACTGTCCCGGAAACGCCGGCTCAACAGGTAGCCACGCTGCTTGAAAGGGGTAAGTACCATGAGGCAGCACAACTCCTTGAGAAATCTGCTGTTTCAACCAAGCGTGTCGAACAACTCAGCGGGATTTACGAAAAATTGGGTGATATTTATTATGCCTATACCCATCAATATCCGCAAGCATTAGAGGTTTATGACAAGATTATCCAATTGAGCACCAAAGGAGCGACGGCAGAAGATCTATTCCTCGGTTATATCAAGAAGGGCGATGTGTATTGTCGCATGGGAAAATACGAGGAGGCGATTCAGACCTATCAGACCTTTGTTGATCAATTCCCCCACCCATCTTGCCCATAAAACCGGCTTGCGAAAGATTCATTCCATTCAAACTGCCCTTGATGATTTGCGAGAGCAACAGCGCGTCATCCAAGACCATAAAGCAACCCCCCTTGCAACTGAAGCGCAATTCCATATTGCAGAGTTGTACCGCGGCCCCTATCAACTGAACCAGCCGGAAAGAGCGATTGAGATATATGAAGAGATCTTGAAGCAACGCAGGGATACCAAGCTTGCGGCTGAAGCGCGGTGGCGCATTGGAAATCTACGAGATAAGGTATTGAATCAGCCGGCGATGGCGATCGAAGCATATCAGAAGGTTGTGGACGACTATCATCAGGTGAGTCTTTTTGCAGCGGAGGCACTTTTTCAGATTGGACGCATCCACCAAGAGCGGGGGCGATATGCTGCCGCTGTGCAGGCTTTTGAGCAGCTCCCACAAAAGCACCCGGACTTTTGGAAGATGCACGCAGTTTTCTATTGGTCGGGTGTCTGTTATGAAAAATTGCGGGACTATCGGCGGGCAATTGATGCGTTTCAAACATTTCTGTATGCTTACCTGCCTAACTTGGACCTCATCTACTTGGGCGCGATCGGAAAATATGACCAGGATCCAGTTCGGGTCAAAACGGAATTGGAGGCAAAAATTCAGCAACTGGAGTTAGATTTTCCAAGCGTTGAATGGGATCGGATAAAAGATCTGATTGCTGCAAACAACTATGTTGATGCCCTCCCGCTTACACGGCAGTATATCATTGATGTGCCCGACAGTGAGCATGCACAGCAGGCACGGTCGCAACTCCGTTTTATTGAATTGCACGCAACCATTCAGGAATTGCGATCAACAAGCGGTGCATTGACCCCTTACGCGCTATTCCGGGCGGGTAAAATTTATGAGCGTGAGTTGAAGGATTATGAGCAGGCGATTGCTGTGTACCGCCAAGTGATTGAGGCACATCCTCAGTCCCTGTGGGCGGCTGAAGCTGTGTATCGAACCGGGGTTGTCTATGCCGAGCATCTCAATGATATAGAAAAGGCAATCGAATCTTATCAGTCCCTTATATCGGATTATCCGTCTTCCTCACAGACGATGATGGCGCATTTCCAACTAGGCGAAATGTATCGTACCCTCGACCAATATGATGAGGCTGTGAAAGCCTATCAGACCACAATTGGTTACCCGAAACAGGCGCAATACCTTGCCCAAGGTTATAAGGACAGCTTCGCAGATCAGGCGCAATTCCGGATTGGTCGTGTCCACTATGAGAACCAACGTTATGACGCTGCTTTTACCACATTCCAAGAGTTTATCGTAAGCCAACCCTACTCACCACGGCTTGCAGCTGCCTACGCCTTTCTGGGAGACATCAGCCACAAGCGCGGCGATTCCAAAAACGCGCTAAATGCTTACGATAACGCAACGCGCTTGCTTGAAGGCAGTCCCATCCAATCAAAATGATGCTCGATGAGGCACATGACCTTGGCTTTCAGAAGCAAATCCAACGGCTGTCCTCCAGCACCTAAATGAGCTCCGCAAGCGGGTGCGGGCAAAATAAGCGTCGCGAATTGGTGAGCGATCTTCCCCGACTCTGTTCTGTCTTTCTTTTAAGGGTGGAGTGAAACCAACCTGCTAGTTCCTTTCATAACCCATAGATAGTCTACCTAACCCAAATTCACTAATACAATCTATCCAGATTTTTGAACTAAGTGGTTTTCTTGACTTAGCGGGCATCAACCGTATAATACACACCTGTCGTCCCTCCGGGGCTATGAGTCGGGCAAGTCCGAGAGGAACCTTCCGTTTCACGATCCCCGATAAGATCGGGACAGGCCCGATCTCGGACGAGTCGTCGGACGTACCGTGGGAGTTCTATCCGACACGGGCATTGGCTCCGCGCGATGATGGATTTTCAATCTGTAAATCTGAGATGTCTCAAGTCGACAAAATTGCCTGCATGATGATTTTGTTTTTCTTGTTTTAGTTGGGATGATATAATCAGCGTTGTCCATTATTAACTATGCAAGTTTGGAGGAGAGTATCTTCAATGGCACATCAAAGTTCAACCATATCCAACCGCCTTCACGCTGGCGCAGCCCAAATCGACATAACCCCCCAGACCGATATCCATCTAGCTGGAGCCGTTGGGCAATTTCGACCTGCTCAGTATGTTTACGATCCTCTTTATGCTAGAGTGCTGGTGTTGGAAAACGATGAAAAGAAAATCTGCTTTGTGAGTTTGGATCTGACCATCATTACCGAGGAATGGACGGCAAAAATTCGCCGTGCGGTTGCAGATGAATGCGGACTTGTCCCCTGAAGCCGTCATGGTCCATGTGACGCAGACGCATTCGGCACCGTCGTTAGGACATTTCATGTTCGATGAGAGTTTTCAGGGAACGCCACCGGAGATGGAATGGCTGCGTGGCGGCGATCCGCGGTACTTCGATTTTGCGTTTGAACGCATCGTCAAGACTATCAAACGGGCGAATGGTTCTTTGCAGCCGGTTCAGCTCCGGGTTGGTAGTGGGGTCGAGGGAAGGGTTGCCTTTAACCGAAGGGCGATCATGAATGACGACAAGGTGCGTATGCCTGGACCAAAATGGCAGGATCCGTTGGGACCTTCTTATATTCGTTATATGGAGGGACCGATTGATCCGGAGGTCGGGGTGATGTGCTTTCAAACGGATTCGGTGGAGATGCTTGCGATGTTGCTGCACCACACCTGCCATCCGGTGAACATCTTTCCGAGACCGATTGTCTCCGCGGACTGGCCTGGGGCGTGGTCGGACGCTATGCGTGAAACCTTCGGCGGTAGTTGTGTGCCCCTCGTCCTCAACGGCTGCTGCGGCAACATCAATCCGTGGGATCCGTTCAATCCGGATTACGTCCCCGATCACCAACGCATGGGCAGTCTCCTCGCTAAAACAACTCAGGCGGTGATTGAAGCTTTGCCTTACCAAGAAGATTTGTCCCTAGATTGGAAAGTGCGCCACGTGAAGCTACCCATTCGTGACGTTGAACCTGAATTACTCGCACAGTCGCAGAAAATTTTGGAGGAAAATCCGGAGCCGAGATGGTCGGAGCAGAATCCGAAGCAGATTGATCCAGAGTGGATAAAGGCGGGTTCTATCCTGAGCGTCCATCTCCGAAAGGAGCGAGCACCGGAACTGGATTACGAGATTCAGGTGCTTCGGGTGGGGAAAACGGCATTTGTCGGTCTGCCGGGCGAGCCGTTTGTCGAAGGGCAGTTGCAGCTCAAGATGGCTTCTCCGACCTATCCAACGTATATCGCACATTGCACGAGCCACTATGTCGGTTATCTACCTATCCCTGATGCTTTCCCTCGCGGTGGACATGAAGTCGAGACAAGGTTCTGGGCGAAGTTAGAACCGGAGGCGTTGGAGATGGTAGTTGATGCGGCAACTGAAGTGCTTCATGAGGTTTTCGAGAGTTGAGACATTTCCTGATGATAGTTTCTACATGAGTGGCGGTGTCTAAGAATCGGAGCCGCTGTACGAGACAATCTTCAAGGTGGTGTTAAGAAAGGAAAAAATCGATGAAAATTATTGACGAAAGGGAAGCGTGGATCCACACCCATTTTTTCGTTGATAGCGCGTTGGTTACACTCCAAGAACAGAAGATCATTTCGATGTGTGTCGAACCTGAATTGAGACAGATCGGGATTCAATACGGGTTACGTTACGAGAAGTCTCTCAACCCCGAACAATCGCTCATCGTTTTGGAGTGTATTCCCTTTGAAAACACCAGAGAAGTAATCAAAGATCTCATCAATGGAACGATTAAGGATTTTCCGAGTCGCAGCGTAAACCCACCGCGCAACGTTGTGACAAAGATAACCGTTGAAGGGCCGGAGTCAGCGCAACCGTAGTAACTATGTTCCAATTGCATTCATCGAAAAGAGAAAGGAAGGTGTATCTATGACATTGCGCGCTGGGATTGTTGGCTGCGGTGGAATCAGCCGGAGTCATGCAACCGCATACGCAAATCTGAAAGATGTGGAGCTTGTCGCCTTGTGCGATATTCAGTCGGCAGCACTCAATGCACGAGCGGACGAATATGCGGTGTCCAACCGCTATACCGATTTCCGAGAGATGTTTGAAAAGGAAACATTAGATGTCGTTAGTGTCTGCACCCATGCGCCGTTACACGCACCGGTTACGATTGCCGCTGCGGAGGCGGGTGTAAATGTCCTGAGTGAAAAGCCGCTTTCCACCGATCTGGAAAACGCTGATAAGATGGTCGCGGCTTGTAAAGAAGCAGGTGTGCGGCTGGCAGTCAGCCATCAATATCGATTTACACCGCTATTCCGTCACGCGAAGGAGTGGATTGAATCGGGACGACTAGGTGAATTTCGTTCCATTCGCGAGGTGGGCAAGGGACGTGAAGCGGGATTTGAGTTGATGGAGATGGGTGTCCACTACTTTGACGAGATGGATTTCTTCATGGATGGCATTGAGTGGGTTCACGCACAGGCTACCTATCGAGGACACGCAGTTGGTGTTGAGGACATCATGCACAGTAGTGAGCTTTGCAAAACAGATCAGCGCGACAACGGAATGGTGGCAGGCGACATAATGATGATTCATCTCGGTGGGAAGCGGGGTGCGAGTGGTTTGGTTGAACTCTATTGCCGTGACCCTCTACAAGGCTGGATGATGGGTCCCCATATTTTAGGGAGTGAGGGGCAACTGATGATTAAACCGAATCCCCAAACTGGGGTAGATGAGATGTGGCATTGCCCCTTTGACGTTTCGTTTGCTGCACACACCCCCCAATGGAAGCGTGTTCTACTTTCCCAAGAGGTTTTTGTCATTGATGGTAGGTCGTGGTCGGGTAGACATTCGATTTGGAGTGTGCGGGACATGGTAAACGCGATCCGCGAAAACCGGCAGCCGGAGCTCGGTGGGTCAAAGGCACTGACCTCTTTGGAGTGCGTCAGTGCCGTCTATGAGTCCCATTTTACTGAGGCGAGAGCCTACCTGCCGTTGGAGGACCGCCGTCATCCGCTCATCAAGCGGTTGGACGAAGGCTCTACTTGATGAAACAAGGAGAGACAACGATTTTCGTTAACTCATTGCCGCTTTTTCCACATCAGCCAACCACACTCGCTCACCGTTGTTCAATGCTGACCGATGGACTGCGCCCTCGAATAACAGTTCATTCCATGCGGCTTCCCCATCTGCCGGGAACGATTCGTTTGCGTGCATCGCTTTGATTACGCCGTCAGCCATGCGGGGGAAGGATGTTTGATAACTGTTTCCCTCCTCAGATTCCCAAAGTTCTTCGTCTTCAGAGGTATTGGCTTCGCGCCGACGATACCACCCCTCTAAACCACGGGCTTCGGCGTAACGCTCGTCGCCGACAATCATGACGCGCAGTGGATGGTCGTCGTAACCCCATAGGTTGCTCCCCGCTAGTGAACCGATCGCACCGTTTGCCCACTGCATCTGAATCATGCGCTGCCAACCGCCTTCTTCGCTTGGATCGCCCATGACGCTGACCCATTCGGGCCGTCCCATGTTCCAGAGGATCTGATCAATGACGTGCGACCAGCAGTTGAAATGCGCCCGGGCGCGCACCATCCGTATTTCGCCCAATCGCCCTTCTACTACATCATCGTGAAGTTTTCGGAAGTGGGTCATGAAGCGGTAGTTGAAGTCGATACCAAATTTTAGACCTGAATCCTCGCCACTCAGAGATTGCCGCCGCTGCGATGGGGAGGTCATCTTCTCTGACGCGGAATTGACCTTCCAGACCGCAGAGGGGTTTCTCGGTGAACACATTCTGACCTGCCGCGAGCAGCTGCCGCAAGGGCGGGATGCGTCGGGTCTCATTGACGATCATTAGCATCAGATCCACATCGCAGTTGGCAAGTAGTTCTTCGATGCTTGAATATCCGGGGGCACCAAACTGTTCTGTGGCTGCGGCGAGTAGTTCGGGGTCCATGTCGCAGACAGCGACAACTTCGGCGTCCGGATGGCTGTGGAAGTTTCCGCCGTGCATCAAGCCCATACCTCTACCGCTGATGAGTGCACATTTTATCATGATTAGATTCCTTTCTGCTTCAGATTAAAGGTATACAGCACTTTTTGATAGTGTTCTTTTTATATCTCTTAGGTGAGGATTGACCCTCATTGAAGGGTAATGTTGGGGAGGTGGGAAATCCACAGACTTGTTGGATATGGCGTAAGATGGAATCGTATTGGTGTGGGGTAGGAGCCCCACCAACAGAACCCCTACATTACAACGCTACGAATCATCCGATTTGTCGTCGGTTGTGTTAAGTTGCGCTTCTAGTTGAGTGACACGCTCTTGGAGCCGCGTAAACGCTTGCAACATTTCTGGCATTCGGCGCAGGGAGGCTTGGATACGCAGTTGCTGCGCGTGGTTCTCTGCCGGGAAACCGGATACGTAACTCCCTGCGGGGAGATCTTTGGTCGCCGCTGATTTGGCAAAAACGGTACTATCTGCCCCAATGGTGATATGCCCAACGGCTCCAGAGTGTCCAGCCATAGTCACACGGTCTTTCAATTCAGCACTTCCCGCGATACCGGTCTGGGCGGCGATGCAGCAATCTTCGCCAATTACCACATTATGTGCAATCTGTATGAGGTTATCGAGTTTTGTGCCTCGTTTGATAATTGTTGCACCGTTGGTCATTGTAGCGCGGTCAACCGTTGTGTTTGCACCGATTTCGACATCATCTTCGATGATCACTGTGCCGATTTGTGGTATTTTATGGTGACGGTCGCTGACCGAAGCGAATCCGAAGCCGTCGCTGCCGATAACGACCCCGCAGTGAAGGATGACTCGATTACCAATCTCGACATCCTCACGAATTGTTACATTGGGATAGATGAGGGTTTCATTGCCAATTTTTGTGTCATCGCCGATATACACAAAGGGACTGATAATCGTCCCATCACCGATTTGGACATTATCGCCAATATAGGTGTAAGCTTGAATGGAGACCATCTCGCCGATCTGGACATTATCGCCAATAATTGCGGTCTCATGAATACCGTACGTTGTTTTCCGTTTGCGCCATGCAAACAGCTCTAGGACTTTGACAAAGGCGAAGTACGGATTGTCAACGCGAATAAGCGGTTTGCCGTCGTAGGGAATGTCCTGACCAACGATAATCGCAGAAGCCTGTGTACGTTCTATTTCACGCAGGTACTTTGAGTTGGCGACAAACGTGAGTTCATGCTCTCTCGCCTCTTTAATCCCGGAGACGCCGATAATCTCGATCTCGCCGTCCCCTAATAACTCCCCGTCGATTAATTCACTAATCTCTTTCAGTGTTTTTACCATGATTGCTTGAGGGTAGACCGCCCTGTGGCATCAACCGGTTTTCTCCGGCATTGGAGCCAGCAGGCAATCATTAGTTACTCTTTTCCCCTTCCTTTCCTGTCTCTGTTTCAGGGGGAGTTGCCGATTGTTGAGCGTCCTTCGATTTTTCTTTTTCGTATGCGTCGTTTAGCAGCGTCAGGACCTTCTCGGTCAAATCATACTTTGGATCGACATAAAGTGTCACCAGACGTTTCTCAAGGATAAGGCTATATCCTTCACTCTCACCGACTTGCTGAAGCAGATTCTCTATGTCCTGTGTTAGCGGTGCAAGCAATTCCTCGCGTTTCGCCATAATTGATTCTTGACCAATTTCCAATTTACCTTGGAGTTCTTGCCCTTTGAGACGAATATCAGCTTCCAGCGTCTGAGTTTCAGAAGCGTCAAGAAACAGCCTCTGCTTCTCCAGGCGTTCCTCCATCGTGCCGATCTCTTGCTGAATGCCTTTGAGTTCATTTGTCAGCCGATCTTGGGCAGCTCTCAGAATCTCATTGGCTTCTTGGGCTTTTGTAAAATTCTCAAATACCCTTTGTGTGTCAACAACACCTAGCTTAAAGTTGTTTTCTGCCGCGGCACCAAAACCTAGACAAAATGATCCGAATAAGATGACACTGAGTCCTAGGTAAAACTTCAAAATTCGAGTCATAAAACCTCCATGTAGTAGAGACCCCTGACATGGGGTCGTCGCTATTTTAGATGTCCTAATACGTCACGTTTGCTAAAAACCCGGTCCAATTGTGAAGTGGAATTTCCCTCTACCTCCTTCAACTGTTCGATCAAATCCATAGCCCCATTCAAGGCGTGCCAGCATGCCCATCAGATCAAAGCGAATACCAACGCCCGCGCCTTTCTTGAGTTGAAATTCGTTGAAGACGTTCGTAATGCTTTCATCCCATACCTGTCCTATATCAAAGAACAGGACGCCGGTCAACTGGTTTGCGAATGGGATGCGATATTCCAAATTTGCATAGAGGACTTTGTTGCCGCCGTTAAAGTTGATCTCGCCGTTCGCGTTAATGGGAAAGATTTCAAAATCCTCATAACCGCGGACTGTGTCGATTCCGCCGAGCCGGTAGCGCTCATAGTATAGGAATCTCCAATCGGTACTTTGGCTACTGAGGTATGATGTCCGCACATGGCCGGCTAGGACGTGGTTAAACCAACTGGTGAGGAACCAACTTGAATCTGCGGAATACTTCTGAAACTTATTGTCCGCACCGAAGAATCCACCGGCGTATTCATAAGAAAGGCTGTTGTGTGAGCCGGATACAGGTTCATGGACACTTCGCTGATAGTCGCGTGTGTCTCTGCCGAGGCTGAGAGTTATACTGCGGGTGAGGCGATCTTCGATAGTTGTTACGCCCGATCCGCTTGCATCGACAGATTCATTTTTGAGACGAATTGACAGGTCTGTATTTTTGGAGATCGGACGTCCAAACGTTAGAGAACCGCCGACACGCTTATAGGTATATCTATCGTAACCCCGATCGCGAAAGATTGAACCATAGTATCGATGCGTGCGCTGGGTGTTGTATAGGCTAGTACTGAAACGGGTTGGTGTCCCCAAGATCCAGGGGGTGCTGAAGCGAAGTTCGCCGGTATGCCGATCGCGAGCACCTAGCTCACCTTTCAGGTGCACCTGAAAGGCGCGTCCCCAGAGATTGTTTTCACCAATCTGTGCTACCCCAAAGATGCCACCTTCTGTGCCGTAGCCCCCACCAAGACTGAGTAGACCGGTGCGTGGTGATTCTGTGATGGTGACAATCAGATCTCGGATAGCACCTTCAGAATTACTCGGAACGAACTCAACATTCCGAATAAACGGTCCCATCCGAAAGACTCGCTGCCGTGCTTTCCGTAGCGCCTGCACGTCGTAAAATTCTCCGGGCTTGATATCCAGTTGGTCCAGCTCGCGTCGGATGACGTTGTCCTTTGTTTTTTCTAAACCGTTGATATGCACGTCGCCAATGACGATGACATCACCTTCGTTAATGTTTAGTGTCAGGTCCACAATACCGCTGATTTCATCAAAATTGGGAGATGCGTCCACTTGTGACAGCAGGTATCCTTTGTTTTGGTATTCTCCCTCAATCTCCGCAAGTGTCGCCTCGAACTCTCCGCGATTAAAAATTTCTCCTTCAGCCGGGCTCAATATATCACGAATCTTCTCTTCAGAAAACGCGGGTTTCTCAGAGTGCGTGAGTTCGACGGTATACTTTCCAACGATAAACTGGGGACCTTCATCAATAGTGATGTCGAGCATTAGTTCTGTTTTATCATCGGAAAATCGTTTTTCATGCTTAGAAATTCTTGCTTGGTTGAATCCCGCGTCTTGGTAGTATCGAACTAGAATGGTCAGATCTTCCTCAAAGAAAATCTCATCAAAATGCTTGCCTGTGCGGGTTTTCATCTGCTTGCTCAGTGATTTTGGTGAGAGATTATCGTTACCGATGAAGTTGATTTCTTGGACTTTAATCCGTTGTCCTTCGGTGATCTCAAATGTTACGGCTATTGTATTGGCGTCGGAATTAATATCCTTATGCGTTTGGACCTCTGCCAAATAGTAACCTGCTTCTTTGTACGTTTTCAGGACATTCTGTTTGCTTCTCCAGAGACGCTGCCCATTGAAAAGTTCTCCCGGTTTCAGACTGATTGCTTCTTTTATTTTTTTATATTTCAACTGCTCGTTGCCGATAATGTTGATGTTGCCCTCAATTTTAGGGTTTGGGATGAGTCGATAAATGACCTTTAATCCGCCCCCTTCAGCAGGTTCGACATCAACGAGAATCTCCTCGAAAAAGCCGGTATCCTTATAAAGGTTTTTGCTGTCCTGCGATAACTGGTAAGGAGAGATTTCCTCGCCAACACGGGTTTGTATGATACTTTTAATTAAACCCTCTGAGTCCTCCATTATCCCTTCAAACTCGATCTCTTTTATCTGTAATGCCTCGTCAATTGTTGGTGTGGATTTCGGTTCTTCATCGGCAGCAGCAGGGATTGTCGATAGAATGAGACACATAAACCCCACTAATAAACCAATCCGCCAGCATATCACTTTCATTGCTTTCCTCCTCCGTTTTGTCAGTGGTACAAATTATCTGACGTTTACGATGAACCTCATTCGGGGTAAATAGGGGTTCCCAATACATCCGTAACGTGATGAAATTCTTCGATCAGCTTCTGCGTAACGGTTCCCGGAGATCCATTCCCAACGATGCGTTGATCTATTTTAACGACGGGAATTACTTCTGCAGCAGTTCCCGTTAGAAAACATTCTTCCGCGGTATAAAGGTCGTGGCGGGTAAAGACCTTTTCTTCAACAGTGATGCCCAATTCGCGTGCCAAGTCGATGACGGTATTGCGGGTGACTCCCTCCAAGATGCCGAGATGGGTGGGAGGTGTAACAATCACATTATCTTTAACAAAAAAGATATTATCTCCGCTGCATTCGACAACATATCCCTCCGCATTCAGCATGAGCACCTCTTCGACGCCTGCCTGTTTGCCTTCTATTTTTGCCAAGATATTGTTGAGATAGTTCAATGATTTGATACGTGGACTGACTGCTTCAGTGTAGTTTCGGCGTACGGAAACGGTAACGATTTCTAAACCATCGTCGTAAAAATTCGGAGGGTAGAGTGTAATCTTATCTGTGATGATAACAATAGTCGGTACAGGACACTTATCCGGATCCAAGCCGAGATCGCCAACACCGCGAGTTATAACCAGACGGATATAGGCATCATGAAGTTGATTCCGGCGGAGCGTCTCCAATACCGCTTCTTCCATGTCCTCAATGGGGATGGGGATTTTGAGCATAATGGCTTTTGCCGAATCGTAGAGACGTTGCAGGTGCTCATCAAGCTTGAAGACACGCCCCTTGTAAGATCGGATGCCCTCAAAGACCCCGTCTCCGTAGAGTAGACCATGATCAAAAACAGAAATCTTCGCTTCTTCTTTTGGAAGGTATTCCCCATCAATATAAACCAACATAGCGTTTTCCTCGAATCTACGACTCGCTGAATCTGCGAATCGTGCATTACACATCACATATTTAGAACTCTAACAGTCACACTTGGTCGAACACCTGCCCATCCACGAGTTGAATCAACCGGTCGGCGCGTTGGGCGAGTGTCTGATTATGCGTCACGATGATAAACGTCTGGCTGAATTGGTCATTGAGCGTCCAGAGTAAATCGTGCACCGCTTCACTTGTTTTTTGGTCAAGATTGCCTGTCGGCTCATCTGCCAACACAACTTTTGGTTGATTGACTAAAGCACGCGCTATGGCGACGCGTTGTCGTTCACCGCCCGAAAGCTCAGACGGACGATGCTCTAGTCGCTCGCCCAAACCGACATATTCTAGTAACTCTTTGGCTCGATCTTGAGCGACATCAGATTTTTGTCGAGCGATCAACCCCGGCATCGCAACGTTTTCAAGCGCAGTCAACTCTGGTAAGAGATGATGAAACTGAAAAACAAAACCGATCTCTTCGTTGCGGAATCGATCCAATTCTTGATCGTTCAGTGAGAAGATGTCTTCGCCTTCGTAAAAGATTGTTCCCTCCGTCGGTCGATCCAACCCACCAATCAGGTGAAGCAGTGTGCTTTTCCCGACACCGGAGGCGCCGACAATTGCTACAATCTCCGCTTTTTTGACCTCCAAATCGGTTCCTTTCAGTACAGGAAGTTCTGTTAAGCCATCATAGTAAGACTTATATAGGTCAACAACGTGGAGGAGGTTATTCATGTCGAAGTGCCTCAACAGGGTTTAGATCGGCTGCTTTTCGTGCCGGATACAACGCCGCAAGCCAACAGGTTCCGATTGACAAGAGGTTCATAAGAATAACGAAGATCCAGCTAATTCTGACCGGCAATCGGTTAAGCTGATAGACACCGCTCAAATTTTTTCCGAGAATGTCGTTGAGGTAAATAGGTTGTGCGATGAAATAGAGGGACAGAGCGGCTGCGATGCACCAGATTAAAAGAAACCCTGTTGCGTTAATAGGCAATGGTAAGATACGCCGGCAGGACATGCAGAACAACTGGAACTAATAAGATCAGAATACCATACCAGCGTGAGACATTGCCGATTTGGAACTCAAGTCGCCAGCAGACATACACCCCGAGCGCCGTTCCCAAGATAGATCCCAAGATGCCAATAATCCCGCCTTGGAGGATGAAGATTTTTCTGATTCCTTGTTTCGATGCGCCCATTGCCCTGAGAATGCCGATGTCCTGTGTTTTTTCCATGACCATCATAATGAGTGTGCTTGCGATATTGAATACCGCCACGAGAATGATTAGTGCGACGACAACCATTGTCACAATTTTTTCAAGTTCGAGGGCTTCAAAAAACTCCGCGCGCGATTCCATCCATGTCATTGTTATCGGTGTTGCACCCAAGCCTGGGGCAAAACGGATCTTTTGCCTAATATGGTCCCTGACCTTCGTAGCCATATCTGCATGAACGAGGCGAACCTCAATAAGGTTGATCTGATCCGGCTTTTGGTAGAGCGTCTGAGCGGTTTGTAAGTCGATAAAACCATATACGTTATCGTGGAGATAAAGCCCCGATTGATAAAGCCCGACAACCACAAAATTCCGCACCAACGGCATAAAATTTCCAGGATTAGCGGGACTTGGCACCATTTTAGAGATAAGGCGAAGTACATCCCCCGGAACGACGCCGATTCTCCGGGCGACATGGTAGCCCAGAACAATACCGCCGGTGATTGTCTCCTTGCCAGCCAAACGCTGTCGCGCTTCATCAATGAACCGCGATTGATTAAACGTCTCAAAATCCTTCACAAAATTTTGAAAACCCTGTGACGCCATCTTCTTGTTGCAGGTCAATCCCTTTTACAGGAATCACCGTTTCAAGCGATTCGCTGCCTTGGGATTGAATGGCAAGCGGTCTAAAAATCACAGGAGAAGCGGAAACGACCCCTTCGATTCCTTCGATCTGCTCAATCTTTTCCTGATAATTTGGAAAATGACCATGTGCCGATTGGACGGTTACATGGGCTTCATTGACAAGGAATTTCTCTTTAATCTCATGACCAAAACCCTCCAAGGTGGAAACAACGATAATGACAGCAGCAATGCCGAGGGTAACCCCACTCACAGAGATGATACTAATAATAGAGAT